TATATGTGTGTGTGTATGTGTGTATGTATATGTATATGAATATGAATATGTATATGTATATGTATATGTATATGTATATTCATATGTATATTTATATGTATGTTTATATGTATCCGGAGTCATCTTCCAGGCCTTCGTCACGCCGGACGTCACTGGACGACTGACCGAATCCGCAGTCCTCATCGACGATGCTTGCTTCAGATGGTGCGCAATGATTTCGCAGCCTGCAAGTTTCCGAAGATTTTTGCCAAACGCTCTTCTCTGAGATGACTGTTTCGGGATTTAGGCTGTTGGGGTTTGATCGGTGATTTTAGGGCCCACGTGTCTAAGCGACGACCAACCCAAGATCCCAGAAGAAGTCTTACCTTTCCATTGATGAGCCTAAGATCCTAAAAACCTAAGACCCGAAGCCCTTGCTAGAAACTGCTTCTCTGAACATGAAAACCTGCTTCCGCAATTCTGGGAAAAGAACCCGGCAAGTGCCGGTGCGCTTGCCATCTCGGAAAAGGTGTTTACCAGAAGCCTAAACCCTAAACCCTGAACCCCTAAACCATAATTAAACCCTAAACCCCAAAACCCTAAAGCCTGAACCCCTCAGCCCTAAATCCTAAACCTTAGACCCGAAATCTTATAAGCCCAAATCCTGAACCCTGAACTGTGAGGATGAGTTCGCCATGGCTTTGGACACCTTTGTCCCAGATGGACCGGCCTGGGAAAGGTTTGAAGGAATTGTTGGGTTTAGGGCAAAAGGGGAGCGGTTTAGGGCAGGCTTCGGCTTTAGGGTTTAGGCATCAGGGTTTAAGGTGCCGGATTTCGGAGTTAGGGTTCAGGGTTTAGGGCTGGCTTCACAAGTACTGCAAAAGTTTGCCTGTTGTTATCCACGGCTGCCTCGTCTCAATTCTGTTATCTATGACCATGTCGATTCAGTTCTTCGCTTCATATCTGCTGCAGTACCCACTACACTGCGCGCGAACCATGTCAAGTGTTGGACGCCAGACTCTACGGGCCTGAAATCCGAAGCCCTGAACCCCAAATCCGAAGCTCGACGCTCGAAACCGTAGGGCCTAGAGGCCTAGAGCATGTTATGCAGACCACATGTCCAGATGTTGTTTCTCATGTTGCGGGATTGGTCCTAGGCTTTGAGATTTGTGGTTTAGGGTTGGGGCTTCAAGTCTTCATGTGCTGGGCCCGGTAGGAGTTCGGATCCTCTGCATCAACGACTGCTGCCACTCGGGGACGATCTGTGACATCGATTCCTGGCACAAGGGACCCTATACCACAACCCGTGACACCGAAAACCACCAAACCCTGGATCCTAAACCCTAACACAAACACTTTGCCCCTGAACAAGGCCCCGGAGACGAGAAATTGTGATGCAGTTTTTCTTAAAGGGCTAGCTCACCACTCCCTATCGTATCCAGTTTACTCTCGAAGCGACGCAGATCTTCAGCTATTGTTCTTGCATCGCGCTGACCTTATTCCTCCATTCTACCCGTTCCTGTGAAGGGCAATTCATAGACCGTGCTCTGTCTCGAGATTTCAGACGCCTTAGTCTTGAGATCCTCACGTTCACGTGTCGTCTGTGCCCCTGCCCTTGCGAGTATCTGAACTCTACTCCCAGTTACCTAGAGGACCTAGAGGAGTAGAGGCAGTTCGCATGCAGAAACTGGTTAATTAGCATTCCAGCAACTACATAGATGCACTCTTGCGTGTGAGTCGGAGCAAGCTCTTTCGAAAGATCAGCGGTAGGCCAAGTTTTGCAGGAAGATTGCTTCGTTATGCCACAGCCATCAAATGCTATTCTACTAATGTAACCCTCTATCAAGCCACTATCAAGTGTTCCTTTATTTGGGTGACTTCCCCTAAACCTTTTCTCGATACTCGGTTTCTGCCAGACCCAAGACCTCTTGCATTTTGAGGGTTGGGTTCCGGGAACATTGAAGCCTGCACTTCGTGTCTCCGAGTCCTCCGAGGACTCCTTCATGTATAAGCACGACATCTATTCGATATCGGCTTCGCAAGACAATGAGGAGGCTGAAGACATGGGCAACTCGGATAGCGATCGAGGATAGGCAGAATTTGGCAATTGGCCGAGAGAATCGCCGTGCGGGCCCGAAGCCTCAAGCTGCACCGCTGCAGTGCAGAGCTGCCGACAGCGGAGCTCCAGAGCCTGCCAAGTCAAGCCATGAAGACAAACTGTCCGATAAGCTTCAGCGAAACAATGCTTGCGCTTTGTGGATCGTGCTCAAAATACCCTGGAGGCCTGTAATGCCTCTCCATCGTGAAGTGCCTCCATACATCCAACATGCTTGCATTGCCGGCACTACGGAGCTTGTTGATTTGCATCTAGGAGGCCGCATAGAGCCTCTACAAGGGTGTCCCTGTCAGATGCCTGGTTAAACTGCGCGGTATCAGAAAGTATGAAAGGCATAGCAAGGGCACTACATGGCACACTACGTTTGTAACAGCCTTCAAAAGCGGCACAATTCGACGCATTGATGCCTTGCACGTTCGGCTTGGCAAGGTCTACCTTCTCTCAGTCATTCCTAGATGTGTGTTTCCTTGTTCTCAGGGTTGGATCAGTTTCAGACCCTTGCCATGACTAGGATTGTTTGCACTGGCCGGCCAGGGGCTTTCCCCGACTGCGTTTTATGGCTGCCGAAAGTAAGCCCCACTGCCAGGCATGCGACTTAGATGCGTTCCACCGGCTCCAGGACGAAAGAAATTTAAGGTGCAGGTGCTCGTAGAACCGGAGCCCTACTTCACAAACGCTGTTTCAACTTTTAATAGCCAGGCTTTCATGTCGCCACCTGCACGTAGCGGGTTGTTGTAGGCTATGTGTACACCGGGTAGACAGCACAGCAGCTACTTTGATCATGCACATCCCCACACCTCAAACCATCTCAAACCTTCATCCGCCCAGGCGCTAAGACCGGAGACTACCGGCGGGGCTCGGGGGACTTAGTTCGTAAAAGATATAGCAAGAGCTGTAGGTACTCTGGATTTGGATTGCTCTGATAGTCGCCCTACTGGAACCTGTTCATCAGGTACTCCGATCACGAATCCTTTAAGAAACTCTAAACCCTAAACCCTCAACCCTTTAAGAAACACATTCCACAGGCATAAACCCCAAACGCCAAAGCCCAGGTGAGGGAGGTGTTCTGAGCACGGCGCTTCGACGGGCCGTCCGCACCCTCAGCGTGGAGTATGGAAGCCAGGTAGGGCTTGGGGTTTAGGGTCTAGGGTTCAGTGGTTCAAGGTTGAAGTTTGAGAGGGTTTAGGGTTTAGGGGTATTTTGTGTTTATAGGGTTTAAGGAGTATGATGTGGGGTTTCTATTGGGTGTGGCATGTTCAGGGGTCCTTGCAAGAGCGCTGCCTTCTAGGGTCCATGTGGAGCGTCCCGATTTCCAATCCCATGCGTGTCGACGGAATCTTTAACTGTGTCAACCTGTATAGAAACGAAGAGACAAACAGATAGATGAACAGACGGACTGTGGGACTTGGTGGTGTAAACGCGTAGGTGAGTGTGTGCTCATCAACAGTAGTTTTTATGTCTGTTTGTCCGGATGTCTGTCTGTCTGTCCGTGCGTTCCTCGGTCTGTCTGTCCGTCTCTCTGTCTGGCTGTTGACTTGTTATCCCTGAAACCACGTAAGCCCTGACGACCTTTCTGGTCTCCTGAAGCCCGCATTGCCGGAGAGTGTAGCTTTCCTAAACCCTGAACCCTGGACCCTAAACCCTGAGCCCTGTCTGCAGGAGTTTAGCATTATGGATGTCTTCCAGCGCTGCAAACGCTTCGCTGTGCGGCTTACAGGCCGATGGCTTGTCGCGAAAATAGGGGTAGGTTTCGGGTTACAAGAAGGGACACGAGAAGGGTTTCTTCAAGGGCGACTGAAAGTACCACAAGGGCTCGCAAGTTCATTTCGCCAATGCAAAGAGATCTAAATTTTTGAGTGTCTTTGTTGTGTTTACATCGGAAAGTCTGCTTAAGAAATCGCTGAGCCCTGGACCGCAGAGAGTGTTCAGGGTTCAGAGTCCCTTGACCGCAACTGAATAAAGTACAGCGTAATGCAAGCCAACCAAGTGGGATGATGTGGAGGGAGTAAGAGTGTGATGCATGGGTAATTAGCAGCTTAAGCCCTGAATCCTAACCCTCACCCAAAAGCCTAAACCACGCACCCCAAGCGTCCTACATCCTAAGCCCTTCGACACTTGCGGAAGGCGAGCAGAACATCAACTTGCTTCTCGGCTGACTGAAGAGATCTCTCAGCACTCCAGGGTTCAGGGTTTAGGGCTTAGGCTTTAGGGTCGGGGTGTCTCTGTCTTGATTGAAACCTGATGGAGAAAGGTTCTTGTTGCCCCGGCTCTGATGACGGCCCCAAATTTAGATCCTCTTGGTTTGGAGGGTTTAGAGCAGGCATCCAAAGTCACCTTGCTTTCACTGAAAGAGGCTGCAAAAAGGAACGCTTGGGGTTCATAGCAGCCATAGCAGGCAGCCTGAGTCGTCGAACTTCGGGATTGTCACTGTAAACTCCCAAACTGTCCTAAGTCTCAAGAAGAATCAGCACCCACCAGCAAACCTCAATTGGTTCTGGATACCAACGCTGCGCAAAAGCCCAGCAAGTCTATGGACATCCAAATTCCTAGACCCCTCATAGGGCCCGATACTTAAATTGCTTGGCTTTGAACCCTTTATCCGAAGATCTAAACCTAGCTCAGGTAATTCCCCAAACCCTACTCTAATTACCAAGGCACTAAGGCCCCTATAGTAGGGTGATGTCGTGTCGGAATTCAGTTCTTCCTCAGCCCTTGCGCTGCACCTCAAGCCCCTTGCCACGCACCCTCAAGCCGAAGCCCCACACCCCAAGCCCTTGTACCGCTAAGTCGTAAATCTAGTAATTAAGTCATCAAGTCCTAAACCACAAACCCTAAACCGTTTAAAATCCAAGCACTAAGATGCCAAAATAGCCAGAGGCAATACTCTGGACCCAAGCCCTCTGTGGTAGCCTGGCCGCTCTGCTTCCCGTGGTGGACCTACCTGCAGAAGGCCTTCTGCAGGTTTTGATGGGTTTAGGGTTTGGGATTGGCTTGGTTTCGGGTTCGGGATTAAACGGTTTAGGCGTTTCTGGGTTTAGGGTGGAGGGTTCAGGGCTTTGGCTTCGTAGGGTTAGGGTTCAGAGTTTGTAGGCTTAGAGTTTAGGGTCTAGAAGTTCAGGGTTTAGTGTTGATAGATTGACGGCTGATGCGCTTGGGGTACAGGATGGATGGTCAGTTGCTCCGCTCCAGGCTTTGTTGGGAGTGGAGGCTGGTCTTTTGGGTAAGGTACTTCTATCCTGGGCACAGTGTCTAGGTAGGACTGTGTCTTTCGAATGTTTAAGCACCAGGTCCAGCAGGGCTCCCAGCCCGAAAGTGCGTTTCTTGCTCCGGCTATTGCTGTCATGAAAAGGAGTAGCTTTGTTTTGCCACCGCAGAATGGTGGCGTTACTGGCTCCAAACAAGGCATAAGTAGTCCATGGCTGATGCAGTTCCGCGCACCCCCTACACCCTAAACCCTAAACCCCTAAGCCCCTAAACCCTAAGCCCCTAAATTAAACCCTAAACCCCAAAACCCCTAAGCCCCTAAACCCTAAACCCTAAACCCCTAAGCCCCCTAAACCCTAAACCCTAAACCTCTATTCTCCTAAACTAAACCCTAAGCCCCTAAGCCCCTAAACCCCAAACCCCCAAGCCCCGAAGCCCTAAACCCTAAACCTCTAAGCCCCTAAACCTTAATCCCTAAACCCCTAAGGCCCCTAAACCCTAAACCCTGATCTTTCGTCACTGCTCACTTTGGCAACTTTGGAAGCGAACCGAGGCCCTAGGCCCTAAACCCCGAGCCCTCGCTGTTGCATGTTCATATACGGGCCTAAATAATTACCATTACTATCTTGAGGGTTCTTTATTATGATAGAAGTATATTGTCTCCGAAACTTGGCCCGAAACCTTTTCGGCTCCTATTTTACGTTGTCTGATTTGTCGCTGTCTGCTGTGTCAGCATCTCAAGGTCGAGTCTAGGTGCATTTCGGGTTCAGGGTTCAGGGGTGTCTAGGGCCTAGGGCATTCTATGCTTCAGGTTGAGAGTTTTGGGCTTTTAGGATTCTGGTTCGGTCGAGTTTGGGGTTTCGGGCTTCTAACAGACCCCAAGATTCGAAGGACCCATGCCCTGCCCCGAAGGCCCCGAAGGGCCCCGTTAATCGGCAACCGGCCATAGTATAGGGGCCTTAGTAGTTAGAGTAGGGTTTGGGGTTATATTATTATTATACTTGCACTTATAATAAGGAACCCCCCCAACCCTGTTCTAATTATTAAGGCCGCTGCATTACTTCCTAGGCCTTCATACCCGAACCCTGGGTCCTAAACCGCCTTAACTTTCATGACTTGTTCGCTCAATCCTACTGTAAACGTCCTGGGTTCTTCAATCCCGCACTCCTAGCGCTTCGGTGAGGCCGGCTTGATGAAAGTTGACATCCAAGAATTTGCTGAGGAGGGCCTCCGACTCAAGCCATCCAAAGCTCTTTGTGCTTGTCCTGAATATGCTGTTAAGGGCTTTGAGTCACTCGTAGTTGTAGTAGTAGTAGTAGTAGTAGAAGTAGTAGTAGTAGTAGTAGTAGTAGTAGGCCAGTGGCGCGTTGGCGCCCCTGTGTTTTCGTGCACTTTTCAGGTTTTCGACTCGGTATTTACGATGTTTCTGGTGCTTGGGGCACTTGGGATTCAGTTGCAAATTTTAGAATGTGTGCTTCTGACAAGCGTACCTCGGGTACTTCTGGTTCTGCGGGCTTTTGCAACAGGTTACGAAGTTCAGCCTTTCGAAGGGTGGAGGGTGGGTGGGAGGTGATTAACAACGTTTTTAAAGGCGGGCTTTGTGTCAACAACATGGACCAGGGGCAGTGTGGCAAGTTGCTTGTCCTTGCTGATGCCCGGAACCCTTTTCAACTCGGTAAGGCGTGTACTTTCCTTGCCACACATTTGCAAAGCCTTCTGATTCTGAAGGCCTACAGAACCCCTTCGAACATCCTTCAGAAAAAACACTACGCTTCCAAAGCCCGCATTCTCACGATAGAGTTTCGGATTTAAGCTTTCAGTTTTGTTTTTCGGCTTCAGCTTTGGCACTTTGGCAAGTAGTAGTTGGAGTACTTTAGCCTACGCCGTTTGTTCGCACTTGCCAATAGACTGCATAAATTCCTGCGCAGGCAGGTGTTTTCGTGCTCTTACAGTCCTAAAAGTGTAGGGCCGCCAACGTGCCACCAACCTAGTAGTGCATACCTATGTGGATCTTTGTCATGTGAAACTGGCCTAATTAGATAGGTAAGGTGATCTTGGTACTATTAGACGTATTTGCAGTTGTACTGTTGTCTCACACACTTATCCTGAAGATTCACATCAGTAAGTACAATTGACAATGGCAGTAGTAGCAATAACAGTGAAGAGTGTTGCAAGAAGCAGTAGAGCGCAGTGATGACTGTAGCAGATAGATAGTTGCATAGTTAGCCAAAGAGGTAGACAGACGACAGACACAGACACACAGACAGCCAGACAGCCAGACAGCCAGACAGGCAGGCAGCCAGCCAGAAAGACAGAAAGACAGACGGACAGACAGACAGACAGATAGAGAGACACATAGAGAGACAGACAGATAGAGAGACAGAAAGAGAGACAGAGAGACAGAGAGACAGAGAGGCAGAGAGACACGGAGACAGAGCGACAGAGGGACGGAGAGACAGAGAGAGAGAGAGAGAGAGACAGACAGACAGACAGACAGAGAGACAGAGGGACAGGCAGAGAGACAGACAGAGAGACAGACAGAGACAGACAGGAACAGACAGAGACAGACAGAGACAGACAGGAACAGACAGAGACAGACAGAAACAGACAGAGACAGACAGAGACAGACAGAGAAACACGCAGAGACACAGACAGAGAGACAGAGAGAGCCAAGAGAGACAGACAGACAGAGGGACAGACACAGAGACAGACAGAGAGACAGACAGAGAGACAGACAGAGACAGACAGACAGACAGAGAGCGAGAGAGAGAGAGAGAGAGAGAGAGAGAGCGAGATAGATGTATAGATAGTAGATAGGTGATGGATAACAGATAGATAGATAGATCGATCGACAGATGGAAAGATACAAAGGTACATCGATGCGTAGATGCAAAGATGCAGAGATGTATAGATGCGGACATGCTACTATGCACGCGTAGATGCACATGCATGGACACATGATTATCACTGTTGCGATCGCTGTCGTCGTCAGTCTTGTTGATGCTGTTGCTGTTGCTGCTAGCGCATTCCAGGCACATGCGGAACGACCATGCACGACCCTGCTCTGAACTAGACAGCTTGCGAGCCAAACGTCGCGCCCCAAGCCCCCCACCCTAGTATTCCTTAAACCCCAAACCCCAGAGCCCGCTACGGCAGGATGGTTTGGACTCGGACGAAGACTGGACAGCTGCGTGGCGTGCTTAGGGTGTAGGGGTTTAGGGGCTTAGGGGTTTCATAGGGTTTGGGGTGCTTCAGGGCTTCGCCCTCTGGATGTAGAGTTAGAGCTTAAGTAGGGCTCTAGGTTACGCGCCTCGGCCCCAAACCGAGCTGTGGATTTCAGGATTGGGGTTTCAGGTTGATCCAGGGGGCCCCGATTCAAAGAGTCTCGGATTTATTGTCCGTTGAGGTGCAGGGTTTGGGGAAGGCACGTCTGCAGCGTCGGTCGTCCGAATCTCCACCCTAAATCCCAAACACCAATTTTCCCAAGCCCTACAATCATACAGTCTGAAAGCTGGACCCAGCAAAAGTCTCTGTCTGGACCTGAAAAGCTGAAGTCTGGGCGTGGACATTAGAAGCTAAGTGCTCTTTCCGAACGTAAAAAGCTAAATTATATATCTGGAATCTGGAGCTTCAACGCTAACTTCTACACCCATGGGTTTTAAGCTGCTGAATTCTCTCAGATCCTTAACGAGCGGCCCGATGGGCCTTCACACCAGAAGCGAGAGCGAGTCTTCAGGGCACATGGTTGAGGACTTAGTGTTCACAGGGCTCAGAGTTGAAGCTTCCAGAAACCCTACCCTTCCCACGCCCTAAATCCCAAACCCTACCCTTCCCACACCCCAAACCCGAAAGCCAAGTCTTGTGTGTCGAGAGGTTCCCGTAGCTGGATCTCCTGCAACAACTTCTCCATTTGCCTTGACACCCGGCGCCGGAGGCCGGAAACGCCAAACTAACAAGAAATCAAGAAACCCTAAACCTTAAAACCCAAAGCAAATGCAGTTGTCCCATGTCAAAGGGTTGCTGCAAGGGCTACTTCTTGGGTCCAGCTCGGGTTTTGGGGTTTCAGAGGTTAGGGTTTCGGGTTTAGTGATGTTTAGGCAGCAGACGTTGCAAACGAATGTAGTTCCAGCCATCGTCGTCGTTGTGGTCGCCAGAAGTGGCAGCTGCCGGCGGCAAGCCCTGAACCTAGCATCTTTTGAAGGCTATTCTTCTCGATGCTGTTGCTCCAACGCAAAGGATCAAAGCAGCCCAACAGGGTTTAAGGTTTAGTTTCGGGCGCAAAGTGTGGGTTTTCGGGGCAGAGAGCCAAACCGACCTACAACTGTAAAACCGCGAAGACAAGCCCTAGCAATCAAAGCACAGCCACCTTTTTCCTCCTGTTTTCAAGCGAGGCAGTCCAGCTAGGCTGGCCATAGAATTAGATACACGTTGGGAGTAGTTCAACACCAAATTCTTGTATATCGCCTTGGATTGAGCTGATGAAGCCTGGAAGCTTGTTTAATGTAGAAAACTCTCGCAGAGCAAAGCATCAACTCAACCCAGAAAGCCTTTTGACGTTGACTGGGTCTCCGGTTCGTCATTGAGCAATCGTTGTGCAAGCCTGGAGTGTCCACAAGCTGGCGAGAGAGAGAGGGAGAGAGAGAGATCGAGAGAGAGAGCGAGAGAGAGAGCGAGAGACAGATAACGGGATAGATTTGGAAGCAGCTTCATTTTAGGAGCTTGCCTTTAACTTTCTGCGAGTTCTCAATGAGCCTTTTTGGCGGAAACCGAAGGCTCTTCAGAGCACTTGCCGAAACCCGAGGTCCAGTTCGGGCCCTGAGCCTTATGAGTCAAACATTGTTTCTCAACATGTGCATTCGACAGCCAACAGCTTAGTCCTACATACTACCAAAACTCTTACAAGTGAACGTGGACGCCTCCTGTATATCAACACAGCTCGTGGTCGTGACTGCTGCGGATAACAGCAACCAAGCTCGAACCACTTCTTCACACTGACAAGCCAAGCCCTCAGCTGGCCCTGCGGCAGTTCGGACCAACGGCTAGTGGCCAGGAGCAAAGCGATCCGCGGCGGCAGAGGGAAAGCTTGAAGCCCTAAAGTCTGTGCCTTAAATTCCACGTAAACTTGAAGCCCCTAGACCCAAGCATTTGGGCTACCATCCGATCTTTGAAGAAGCTGTGGGGGCTTCGGGTCTTGCAGCCAAGTGTCAAGGAGTTTGTTCGACGGTTTGGTTCAGAGCATGGAGTGTCAGAACTGTACACTTTTCGAAGGCTACTACGAGCCTGTTTAAGGGTTTGAGGTTCAAAATTTATGGCTCAGATGCAAGGTTAAGACTAATGCCCCTTATGCCCCGGGTCCTTGAGTTTTTGCTACCAAGGCTTTTCGCCAGACAGCTGGTCGCAGATCTCGTCTGTGCAAAAGACGAATGCTTGGTGGACCTTTCCGAGCTGTTCCTGTTATAGCAGCGACACTGTCGTCCCGCTAGGTGAGCTGCAGTCGTAGCAAATAGAGATACTTAGCGGGAACATCCAGCATCATTTGTGCTGATATACTCGCGCGCACATGCAACGCCTGGAGCGCTTGTCGGGGTGGCATGCCCGTGTCAGCCCCGCAGCCTGCATTGCGGCTTTGAGAGCAGTAGAAGCAGCATCAGCTAGCCTTGTTTCCCGATCCCTGAGGGCCCTTCGCATTTGGTGGTTAGGCTCAGCACCGCTTACCCCCTAGCAGTTCACACTTAGTTCTGACCCATCCCTCGTGGCCTCGCTCGCTGCACTCCGGGTGCTTGCGCTTCGGTGCCATGGGAAAGGCCAGAATCAAACTTGGCATGGCTGTTGTTGCGAGGATTAGTGTCACAGGATGTATTGCTGCACATGAGCATGGTAGGTTTGTTATTGTTGTCCGAGAAACAGCATCTGGATTGCTACCAAACTCTGCCCCGCATTCCGTGTATGATTCGAGCTGTGATGATTAGTTTTGGCTTGAGTTGAGATGTTTTTGAACTGGAATTGGGTTTGTCCTAGGTAAACCGTCCCACTTGAAGTTGAAGTTTTGTGTGGGTATCGAGCTATCTTGTGGAGGAGTTGTCAAGCACGGTCGTTTGCAGATCAATAAAACGAGATGCCTGAGTCGATCTTGCTTTTTGGAACCGCAAACCGAAAAACAAGCTTAACTCGTGCAGCAAAGCTCAACTCAAACACACGACTTGGCAAGCTCCTCAATGCATCACGTCTTTCGACCAATTCACTATGTCAATCCCCTCACCACCCAGGCCTCACGCCCCGATATACTTACGATTCATGCTTCTTCATCAAAACCTATAAGACCTCGGAGCCAGCAGTCTGGAGAGCCGTGGCTCCTTCGCGAAGAGAAAGTCCCCTGCATTCAAGATTTTGAAAAAAAAAGGGGCCTTCAACCCGAAACTCCAAGCCCTGAGATCTAAACCCTAAACCCGAGACCCTAAATTCCAAAGTTCC